CTCAGACTGAAGAAGTCTCTTGGAGGAGAGACGAAACGTTTCATTAGAGAAGAACCCCTCCAGAAGACCTATACATTTTTTTTCTTTATGTGGTTTATAATTCATCTAATAATTTAAATTTGTAGTAAAGCTAAAAATAAAAAGGCTTTCCTGAATGTAAGTGGCGTCTTTCAGGGGAAATGACCCGTAAAGGTAAATAAAATCTTCCTCAYGTGAGGTCAGAAGTTAGAAACAATGTTTTTTAAACACTTTTCCAKGTTTTATCAGAAACATTGTGGGACTTTTTGAAACATGATGATGTCAGCACTTGATGAAAGTGAACTCTGATGATACTTGAACTAAATAAAAACTGAACGGGTGACTGAATGGGGTGTAAAAGCCTGATTTTAGTCCTAAAGTTTTATTTGCTATTGTCAGAAATGTATCCTTTTCTTTTTTGCTGTCTGCTCATTCATACTGAACCAAAGCAGACGTCCCGTCCACTCTAACAGAATATTTAAATGTACATGTTAACCTCCACTAAATGTAAAAACTTTGTCTTTTTTATTTTCTGTTGTTCAAACGGTAGCCATGTTAATAAAATATAAAACAAGACCAGATAAACTGTGTGACTTTACTGAAATTACGAATTAATGCATAAATAAACAAAAGACAAAACCAATGCTAAAAGTTAAAAGTAAACAGTAATTAAAAGCTAAAATTAAAAATGTACAAAAATCAAATAAGCAAAAAAACCCTGCTAATTCAGAGCTTTAAGTCAAATTTTGAAAATTGGTAGCTAGAAGCTGCTAAAGCTAAAATTAATATAGTAGCTAACAGAAAAATTAGCCATGAGGTAGCTAATAGCAATTTGTCATACAACAGCAGCTAAATTCATCAAATCATTAGCAAAAAGCTAAAATAATAATAAAAAAAAACTTAGCTCAAAGCCAAAATTACCAATGCTTTTGAAAACTCACTCAAAGCTAAAAAAAAAAAATCTTTTGCTAAAAGCAAAAATAAGGAAGACAATATTTAAACCTAAAATTAACAGTTAGGCAGCTAGTAGCTAAATGTATTAAAACAATAGTTAAACTGATCAAATCAGTAGCTAAAAGCTAACACTTTCAAAAATGTAGCAAAAGTTAAAATTATCAGTTTAAAACTAAAATTGCTAAAACCTAAAGTTGGAAAATCTGTCATTCACAGCAAAAGTGATTGGAAAAATAACAAAATCAAAAGCGAAAACTTGCAAGCCAATAGCTAAAAAGAGTATAAGAAGATAAACAATAAAGTATTTTTGTAGCAGATCTAAGAAAAAATGTTTTTGAGGTGGTATTTTTTGTAAATAAAGGGCAAATAAATCAAATTCAAATTATATCCACTCCTGATCAAGTCAAACATTAAATTCAGGAATGTAAATTTTATTTTTCTCCATCAAAAAACATAAACCACCACAAATTGATCACACAGAACAGTTTTATTTTCAAGTTTGACAGTAGCTGTTTTCTTAATTTTACTTCTTGCTGAATCATRTGTTGTTTCTTTATGTGGTGGAAGTTGCACTACTTGGATGTCTGCATTTAAAAACACAGTAATCACGCCACAGTTGTTTATATACAGCATACAAATTATATTCATTTACGTAATATTCTCTGGAGTAGTGGAGTCTCTGATGACAGTACAGCTTAATAACAATGAAGTGTTCTTTTGTTTTTCCTGGTCTAAAAGGGAGACTAAACATTTACCAACACATCAAACTGCTACTCAATGAGAAGTTTTACAGCAGGTCTGTCAGCGAGCATCACTCAGTTTGACTGGCAGGTTTCAGAAGGCGTTGGCAGTGATGAAATCTTACAGAACTGTGGAGAACCTACAGGATGTGGAAACTTTCAACACCGAATTCTTCTCTCATTTCACATCTGAAGAGGCTGAAGAAGAGAACAAAACAAGAAAAYAAACGGAAAAGACTTCAGATGAAACGTCCCGGCGTTTGCTTTTACCACATGGTTCCAGGTTGGACCCATGTCTATGTTGAAAGTAAAAAATTCACATGTAGGCAGAGTAAAGTGCACTAAAACGTGACAATTATTATTATTATTATTATTATTGATTTATTTCAAGATTACAGTGCACGCACAATTCAGAATGTACAGTCGTGGTCAGACGTTTATCTAAATGCATCGTGAGCACAAATGTCATCAAGTCGGGTTTTTAATGATTGTTTTGACTCATCTTAAATGATTTTAAATACAAGAACAGGACGCTCAGGTTTGAATTTAATGTGGCCTTTCACTTAAAACGTTTGAAAAGTGTTGCGGGAGCTTCTTAATGAGCATGACGCATTGCAGCTGATGGTTTTTACTCTTGAAGAAGACCCAAACCGTTACCCTCAGATGAAAGGAAATTCATTTATGAKGTCTAGAACTGGAAATTGCTGGAACAGCAGTATCATCATCTTGGACTGAGAGGGCCAAGAAAGAACCTCCTGCTTCAAATAGGACTGGAATATGAAGCTGCCAACACAAACAAGCCAAACGCCTCCTGGAGTAAAAAAAGACTGAGCAGTTTGGCCGCTACAATGACAAGACGTACATTTGGAGTGGTCATGGTGAGACCTTCAGACATAAAAACATGGCGGCAGTAGCATCGTGCTGTGGTTCTAGTGCAATGAACCAAGTGGTTGGAAAAATGAAGGACATAATTCATCAAATTCACCTCCAGTTAACTGTTAGACAGTTGAAACTTGGATACAGCTGGGTATTCCGACAGGACCACGACCCCAAACAGGTCAAAACTGGCTTGATTGGATAAAGCTTCGGTCCAATCAGATGGATRGAAAGTTTATCAGCAACATTTAACCAAATGTTAGTATGAGAGTGGTGGGTACGGTTCCACTAATCTGCTAATAGTGGAATTAGCTTCTCATTTAGCGAATTAGCCTTTTTGCTAACTTTGGAAACCACTAGCGGACGGTTTAGCTTCCGCTAATTTTAAGAATGCCRTCTTGGAAAAATAAATTATCCTTTAAGGTCCTACATTTCTTCTCAGGCCAAGAGTCAGTGACCTCTTTTGCTTACCTTACAATGTCGTCATGTTTTCTGATTTTACTCTTTATCTTCCGTTTTCTCTCGGACAAAGTGTTTTAAGATCAGGACAATATCTGTTAGAAGTAATTATTCTTGTTGATGTTTTGTCGAACATTCTTCTCTCCTTGGCCCAGTTTCAGCACCAAGAGAGATGTTTATTGTCTGTCTGGATAACATTCCGTAAATGCGTGTATTTGAAACTGCCTCAGTGCGCACATTTTGTACCACTGCCCTGTGTGACATGATGTGTGTCTTGCAAACTGCAATAAATCCTGTTTACCATTTTCACAGAGTAATTTTTATTCTTGGATCTCATGTTTCTGTCTAGTCAAAATAAAGATTTCCATGACAATTTTGGTGTCACGAACAGGCATGGTGTCACGAAAAAAATTCAGGAGTGTAAAACTTCAATTTTTATGCCATTTATCTCAAATAAAAACTATCCACTCTTCCAAGCAGCGCTGTACGTCAGGAAATGTTGTGCGTGAGCATGTATCATCTTTAGATGCTAAACTTCAAATTAAGAGCATCAAAAAGAAAAAAATAATAAAACTGACGTATACATTTACATAAATAAATGTATAAAATTTGGTACAGATGGTATTGACTGTTGTTTGACTAACTTCAAACAGTATTTATACAAATATTAAGTTGATCTAAGAATGGCTTTTATTCTGAAAGGGGTAAACTGGAAGTACTAAAAGTTAAACAGAGGTATAACTCAGGTTCGGATTGGACGATTTGCTACAGATGATCCCACCCACCCTCAGATTAAACCACTAGAAAACTAACAGGTTTATGTCCCAATCGTCTTAGCGGTTAGCATTAGCTTTCACTATTTTTTAAATCTATTCAGCAGTTTAGCATTAGTGGAGCTAACATTAATATTTAGCGGATTAGTGAAACAAACTTTTTATTTAGTTGTGTCAACCGCTGACTGTATGCACACACTTGAGCTTGAGCGTATTAAAGTATGAATTCAGACTTGTGCACCCAGTTCTTGTTTTTAAAAATCATTAAAGTTTTACACATTTTAGAATCCTTCCACTCAGGAAAAGAGAACAGTTCAAATCACTCATTAAAATCTCCACAATAATGACGCTTGATGCAAATATATGTCTGGCTGGAAATGTGTTTGCTCCCTTTGGCCATATTTCCCTCTTCCTATCATCTTTGTGTGCCACGTGACTACTTCTTATATAAATAAAGAGGCATTAAAACATCATCAACAGAAAAAAAAATCTGTCGGCTAGCTAAAAATTCAAAATAGCTGCAACTTCTAACTCAATAATCAAAATAAAATAATAATAAAAACACACTTTTAAATGTTTTGTTCAAACTCATTCAGGAGGTTTAGTATTTCAAGTGAGACACAAGGCTGACTGGATGAAGCCAAAAGCAGTGTTAGGATAACAAGTCCATGCAATTAGCTTAGCATGTTTTGTTTGTTTTTTTAGAGCAGCATGAACTGAAGAGATGCAGAGCTGGGTCCATTTCTTTCTGCATCCTGCTGGTTTTTGTTACAGCTACTCAGCAGTGCTGACTGGATAGTGGTGTCTTACGAGTTTCTAACAGACACTCATTTTGGTCCTTTAGGCCTTAGAGCTGGACTACGCACAAAAATATTCAGGGAGGGTCTGTCAACAGCATTTTTTTAAGAGCAAAGCTAAATAAAATACAAACAGAATACTTTTACATTTTCTTTAAAACTGTTCCAGCAGAGCCACGAAGGCAGAAATCTAACAATATTATCTGTTCCAGAAGTAAGGCTTTCTTTCAGTAAAAGAAAAAAAATGTGTGAAATCTTGATGCATTGCTGTTTTTTTTTTGTCTAACCCTCAAATGGTGCCATTAAATCTTCATTTATAAATATTCTTTTATATTTAAAAAAATGAAGAAAGTGCAACCAAAACCAAGTCTTTGCCATGTTGATGACAAACTGGCCTAATTGTGCATTCAATCACAAGTAATTCCCTCAAAGGGAAAAGAAACCTCCTCCTCTTCCCCTTTGCATTGACACTCMACCACCACCCTGACTCTGGCTGTGTTTTAGGAGGAGAAACAAGAATACAAGCCTTTACGGATGACGAGAAAGTCACTCAATCAGCAGCGTGTGGCTTATGCAGCTACAGGGAGCAACCGCTGGGTCAGCAAAGCCGAGGCGAGGCCGGACTGCGGGGAGAGACGGCGGTGACGCAGTGAATTTAGCTGGAGAACATGAAATCTATATTTGTCAAGAGTCACCGATTCACAAAGCTCACTGTTTCACCGGAGTTCTAAAACCTAGAGGAGGTTTTGTCGTGAAAGTTTTTTTTTCATGACCAACAAACATTGAAAGCTACCCTAAAAGAAGGTTATTGCCACTGGGTGCCATTTTTTGAGTTATTCCACCTAAACAAACCTAGAGGAGTGTACAGGTGAGTCTAACCCTAAAATGAAGAATCACCCAAAGACAACATATTTTTCAGCGTGCATGCTCCACACTGAGCGGCCCCCAGCTGAGGGGGCGGTGCTAGCCGTGCCGTGCAGAATTATCTGTTGGCTTTGTARTTAGACTTGCTGGCGTCACGTGGTTCCTTGCTGGGGTTGCTCCAGTCGTCCGCCTCTGGGCTGGTCTTGTAATGCCGCCAAGCTGACTTGTTGAATACAGGCAGGCGCTCAAAGGACTCACTGGAAAGAGCCTTTCAGTGAGGGAACAAAAGACACAAAAGAGCAAATTAAAACTCACGGTTTACCTAAAACAGACGGGTTAGCGTCATATTTTCTGACAGGWGTTAGACGAGACTGAATATTATTTAACGGCTTTCAAGTACATAATGGGTATGACTTTTAGCTTAATTTACAAGCAGGGGTGTCTGCAGTAGGTGGAGTTTTGGCCCAACAGTGATTGGCAGAGTTCTTTGGTGTGGGTGGAGTTTGTCCTAATCATGATTGGCTGAGTTATTTGGGGTGGGCGGAGTTAGTCCTAACCATGATTGGCTGAGTTATTTGGGGTGGGCCGAGTTTGTCCTAACCATGATTGGCCGAGTTATTTGGGGTAGGTGGAATTTGTCCTAACCGTGATTAGCGGAGTTCTTTGGCGTGGGTGGAGTTTTTCCTAACCGTGATTGGCTGAGTTATTCGGGGTGGGCCGAGTTTGTCCTAACCGTGATTGGCTGAGTTATTCGGGGTGGGCCGAGTTTGTCCTAACCATGGTTGGCTGAGTTATTTGGGGTGGGCAGAGTTTGTCCTAAGCGTGTTTGGCAGTTCTTTGGTATGGGTGGAGTTTGGTCTAATTGTGATTGGCTGAGTTATTTGGTGTGGGCGGAGTTTGGCCTAATTGTGATTGGCTGAGATTTTTGGGGTGGGCAGCTAACCATGATTGGTAGATTTTGTAATATAGTTGGAGTTTGGGAGTGGGCGGAGTTTGGCAAAATCGTTATTGGACGGATTTTCTTGTCTTGTCAGGCAAGGTAAAAGAGGAAGTAATGTTCAAAGTAAAATTATTGTGAATATGTAAATATGATTTATTGACTTTTTTATTTAGTTTATTTCATGAGTAAAAACAAAAYCTTTATACARTAAAMTAAAYATAAAAAGCAAAATATGCAGTGAATGAAAAATGTGCAGAGTCAATAAATAAACCATAAAATTCAATGTCACATATAATATACACCATTTATAACAAATTTGGTTCAACTAGCATCTTCCTGTCTCAAGTTATGACTAATAATAATTATATTTATATTAAAAAAATAATCTTTTTTCAGACCGTTKTGACTGAGCCGAATTGTTACACATCCCTCCACATTTCCGGCAATCAGACTTTGTACAGCTAGCCTTCCTGTCTCGAGTTATGACTAAAATTAATATTTATATTTAAAAATATATGTGCTTTCATGCCATTTCAACTGAACTACACCCCGGCTGCCAAATATTAATTTARCCACACCCAAAATAGTTAATCTGACCCATCATAGCTTGGACAAACTCCTCCCACTCAAGAAGAAACTCTCACTTAGTGACTGCAGAGCCCCAATTTCTCTCAATATCTGTAAAATCAACTGAGTTATAGTCATTTTTGTTTCGGTTCATGTTGATTAGCTGCAACTTGAATTAATTTGACCCCAAAAGCTGAATAGTTGTACCAMTGACTACTTAGAATCCATCCAGTGGTTCATCTGATAATTTGCTAACACAACACTTAAACAAACACACATCAAAAGGCATAAAACATTACTGCCCTTTCCCCTTTAGTGGCAGGAAAGTCATAAAAGTAGCATCAAAAATAGAGAAACCAAACTAGCATCTTTTCATCAAACACTTCACAAAGAACTGACTATAATTCTCAAACTATCAAACTACAAACTGAAACACTCGGATAACACAAGAACATCTGATGTTCTGCTGACTCATGCTACCTTCAGATAGATGACTGCATCCGTGCCCACCCCCTCCATGGAGTATAGCTTCAGATCCCCTTGGAAGTATCGAGCATAGAGTCGTGAAATGGGTAAACCGTAACCAAAACCAGCCTGCAGCGGAAGAAAAGAACAAACATTTACAAATGCCATTCCTTTTTATTAGAAAGAAAGCAAACGAGATAAGATAGGTTGCCTTTATCGGGGAGGCAAACACTGAATGCATATTTGGTTTTGTGAACGCACGCACCAGCGGGACAGCTCCTGGCTCCAGGCTCGGCGTCGGGGCAGTGGAGTACATGTAGTTAAAGAGCCGATCTATCTTCCTCAGAGCAACTCCTCCCCCTCTGTCGCTGATCTGAAGACAGATTGGTRGAGTTGGAAAGGAACGGGGGACGTAAAAATGTCACATATCACTAAATATTTTCTAAATGGATTCAYGGGTGTTTGTTTACCTTTACAGAGAGATCTTCTTTCCCCAGAGTGACTCTTGCCTTCACTGGCGGCAGTCCTTCGWTACTGTTCTCATGGAGCTCCACAGTTGCCCTCATCGAGTTCTGCAAACACCCGCAGGGCCGATTGATTGAGCTCAACAGGAGAGTGCTTATCAAATTTTAGCCACCTTGAAATTAATTACATTTAAAGAAGATTACAGAAGCAATTAGATGAATGGCACTAATGCAGCTCCGCTCACCTTGAAGAGCTCAAACAGCATGTGGAACAGATGGGAGGGCACATACACCACCTGGATGGGCTTTTTGGGAGTCTTCACTGAAGAACAGAAGAAAAGATTAACACAAAGCAGATGAGGACAGTGTGTAAAATGTAAAGAAAAACACGATGCTATAATGGATGCAGTATGTTTTATAGTATCATCTTTGCTGAAATAAGCAAGGCTTTCCCTGAAATTAAAAAAAAACTACCATCTGGATGGGCTTTTTGGGAGTCTTCACTGAAGAACAAAAGAAAAGATGAACACAAGAAGATGATGACCGTGTGTAAAAAGTTAAGAAAATCACGATGTTCTAATGGATGTATTATGTCGTTTAGCATCGTCTTTGCTGGAATAAGCAAGACTTTCTTGAAAACCTTTTTTTAAACCACCATCTGGATGGGATTTTTGGGAGCCTTTACTGAAGAACAGAATAAATGATGACGACAGTGTTTAAAAAACAAATAAAACCACAATGTTGTAATGGATGTAGTATGTCAAGTGTCATTGTTTTTGCTGAAATAAGCAAGGCTTTCCCTGATTTTTTTTAAACTACCATCTGGATGGGATTTTTGGGAGCCGTCACTGAARAACCAAAGAAAAGATGAACACAAGAAGATGAGGACAGTGTGTAAAAAGCAAATAAAAACACAATGTAATGGATTCAGCATGTCGTTTAGTATAGTCTTYGCTGAATTAAGCAAGACTTTCGTGAAAATCTTTTTTAAAGGCCACCATCTGGATGGGATTTTTGGGAGCCTTCACTGAAGAACAGAATAAAAGATGAGCACAAGAAGATGACCGTGTGTAAAAAGTGAAGAATAACATGATGTTGTAATGGATGCAGTATGTTATTTAGTATTGTCTTTGCTTAAATAAGCAATACTTTCCCTGAAAATCTTTTTTAAAAACTACCATATGGATGGGATTTTTGGGAGCCTTCAATGAAGAACAGAAAAAAATACAAACTACCCCAGTCACAAAGAAGACGAGGACAGTGTGTAAAAAGTAAATAAAAACGGAATGTTGTAATGGCTGCAGTATGTCGTTTAGCATCATCTTTGCTAAAATAAGCAAGGGTTTCCGTGAAAAAAAAAACACCATTTGGACGAGAACTAATGTTATATAAACCTGTATAAACACTTTACCGTGTTGATGGTGCCTTTCCAAATGTGTAAGCTGCCCATATAGGCCCTAATGCATCCCCATACCATAAGAGAAGCTGGCTTTTTGAACTCCTCCTATAAAAGACGTGACATTTGTGGATCCCCCCAAAAAATCTAATTTTGATTCAGCTGACTATGCGCAGCTATCAATAAACTCCAAAGTAACAGAAACACACAGCAGTTAGATTACTGCACCAAAGAAACAACAAAAGAAAGTATCTTACTGTTAAACTCCTCGATCTTAAGCTCCGGAGCAGCTGAGTAGTACTTCTCACACAGCATCTTGGCAGTGTCATAGGCATCTGATGGAAGAGCAGAAAAGCATGACTCAGCATTTACAAGAAGGAAAAAAAAAACATGTTTATTGTTTCTGCTCGTCTTCCTGTTGCAGGTCAGTGGTGCAGTTTCTGTCGTGTCACGGGTCACTCCGAGTGCAACTTTGATCCACGCTGCTGGAATGCTTTTAAAAGTATYATTAATGTGCTTTTGTGTGACAGAGGAAACGACTCAGCTTCAGTTCTCAGGAAAACAACACATCCGTGCCAGAAACATTTCAATTTGAACTCCGGTTCAGTCGGTCGGAATCACAAATGCTGAGAGCAGTTTGAYGAATTACCAAAAATATGCTTTTTTTAAAGTTAAAAGCATATCATTGCTAAAAGACTRAGTAAACTCATTGAGATAACAGATCATAAACTTACTTTACTGCGTAAAACTGAGGATGATTTATCAGACTGCAGCGGTGCAGTCAGCACCCATTAAAGAGTCATCCAAAAATTAAAAATCCTTCCCCGGATCCTAACGACAAATTCCTGTGCCAGACTCTTAAATACACATAAAGACAAGCTTTGCACATTTAGAAATAACTCCTAATTATGTTAAAAAAAACATGTTTGGTCTTAAGAAATAAGAAACTAAAGCAAACTATGAAACAATGATGACTTGGAGTATTTAAAGTGCCTGTGACATCAATAATTTGTAATCAATATAAATGTATTTTTGGAAAGATAACATTGATAACATATTGTAAAAAAGATTTCACACCATTGACAGGAACAGTTGTTGAGATATTCACATGTAAAGAAACAGGAAGTGATGTCAAAGGGGAATGTCTGAATGCAAACAGAGCTTTGCTACTACGACCAACAACACAGACTGTAGCGAAGAATCTGATGTTTCTTTAAATTATTTTAATCACTATCAAGGGTAGATGAGAAAAAGTCGTAGTTCAAATAATATTGTTTAAATAAACAAAAACCAGGGTGTTTTCTTTTTCCAAGAGTCCCCCTTGGATGTCACTTCCTGTTTCACTTTAACTGAGGAAATTCAAAAGAAAATATGCCAATATGTGATATAATGGGTCAAATCAGGTGTATTGTGCCAAGTTTCTTAAATATAAATATATTTTCTTTGACCTTTTGTATTTCATGGATATGCATGTCACAGGCACTTTAAGGTTTAGAAGCTTA